GAGGATAACTATCAGTAATTGCAAGAGATCAGACTTAATCGAGGGCAGCCTTACAATCAACTGACGATAACTAACTTATACAAAGCTTGCAAGAGGTCAGACCTACTCGATGTAGCCTTACAAACAAGGTATAAGTCGTGACAGATACTCACAGACAAATCAAAGGTCAGACCTAACCGATGCAGCCCTGCTCGCCGAAGAACTCGTCGAAATCTACTCTATTCCTACTCCGAATGGGTGGCCTGAGCTGAAAAGTAAAGGTACTGATTTGTGTTGATCGTTGGAGATGTTCATTACAATGGTCGGGGTTCAATATTTATACCCAAGGCTAAACTACGAGTCCTGGTCCGACAAGACCGGGTACAAAACTTGGAAAAGAAGACAAAAATTTCCTAAATTATGATAACTTGGACTCCAACCTTTTCTTTCTGTGGAGCCCGACGTGTCTTTCACTTCGAATCTTTGTCGCTCCTGCCAATGGGCTCATTCCCTTGACGATGTCATCTTGCTAGCTGACCTGGCGATTTGGTTAGCCGACCTGCCCGAATATTTCGGCTCTCCTCAATAATTTCTTGTTCTCAAGGACCCCCATCTCGAACCAAATTTTGGTGTCAACAGATACCACTTGAAAGGTCCTAATGGCTAGAGGGGGGTGAATATCCTATAAAAATTTCTACAACAACACTTAATCCAAGTGGTTAGATAATTATAAAGCAAAGCGAGTGTTGCGCTAGCCTACTCAAAATACAAGCCTCGTATCCTCAATTCTAGTTATCTATGATCTCTATAACACACAAGAGGCTATGTCACTACCAATAAGTTAGTGAGCTCTCAAAGACTAACTAAAGAGCCCCACTAACTACTATAAAAGACGCAAGCTAGCTCTCAAAACTAATTACACTAAAGAGTTTAGCTACACTAAGAAAGTAAATGCACAAGATAGGTAGAGAGGTATACCACCGTGGCAAGAGATCAATCACAATACAATGAATACCAATGAAATCCTTGGAGACAAGATAACACAATGATTTTTCACCGAGGTTCACTTGCTTGCCGGCAAGCTAGTCCCCGTTGTGACGATTCACTCACTTGGAGGTTCACGCGCTAATAGACATCACACACCTAACCCACAATCGGGTGCCGCACAACCAATACAAGATGATGATCCACAAGCCATGATCAATCGACTAGAGTACCTTTTCGCTCTCCACCGGGGAAAGGTCAAGAACCCCTCACAATCACCATGATAGGAGCTGGAAACAAATCACCTTCCTCCGCTCGACGATCCTTGCTGCACCAAGCCGTCTAGGTGGCGGCAACCACCAAGAGAAACAAGTGAATCTCGCAGCAAAACACAATCACCAAGTGTCTCTAGATGCAATCACTCAAGCAATACACTTGGATTCACTCCCAATCTCACAAAGATGATGAATCAATGATGGAGATGAGTGAGAGGACTTTGTCTTAGCTCACTAGGTTGCTATGTTAATGAAAACAGCCAAGAGAGCGAGCTAGAGCCGTTGGGTCACAAAGATGATAAATAGAAGCCCCCACGAAATAGAGCCGTTGGGTCATATAAGTGACCGTCGGACTCACTTGGCACGGGCCGTCGGACCATCTGACGCTCTGCCCGACGCCCTACCGCATCCACTTACAAGTTGCCATGCGTCCCAGTCAAACGAGCTGACCGTTGCCGCCAACGGTCAAGCAGTCACGCGCTGATTACCACGGTCGGACCTAGGTCATCGGACCTACCGTCAGACTCCACACAGGGAGGGACCGACGTGGTCTAGTAAGGTCCAGAGTGGGTTAAAACCCTCGGACCCCGGTCCGACGCCCACCATCGGACTCGGTCCACGATCTGTCACCGCCACGTGTCGTGCTTGCACTTGGTCGGTCCAACGCCCTACGAGCCCAGTCTGACACCGTCGTGCGCGCTCCTCTCAGTTAGGGTTAGCCGTCGGACTCTGATTAGCTGGGTCCGATGCTCCTGAAACCAGGGTCCAATGCCCCTGCTCACTTCTTCTCAAGCTCGATCACTCGTTCCTTGTGTATGTGAGCTAACTCCAAGTATTCCAACACTTGTGTACGTGAGTTAGCAACAATCTAAGCCAAATCCCAAGGGTGTTAGCACTCACTAGAATCTAAATGCATATGCAATAAGTTAGAATATCTAGTGGCACTTTAATAATCGCATTTCGATATGAGTTTCACCCCTCTTAATAGTATGGCTATCTATCCTAAATGTGATCGCACTCGCTAAGTGTCTCAATCACCAAAACAAAAAGCTTCTATGGATATCACATTTGTCTTGAGCTTTTTGTTTTTCTCTTTCTTCTTTTCCAAGCTCGAGCACTTGATCCCCATGGCCATCACCACCAACATGATCATCATTGCTTGCTCCACCACTTGAAATGTGCTACCCTATCTCGTGATCACTTAAAGTAAAAAAGGGTTAGCGTCTAGGGTTTCATCAATTCACCAAAACTAAACTAGAACTTTCAGCTGCCCACACAGTGAGGGAGCGAGCGGCTAGCGTGTGGGGCTCGCCCTGAGCACAACAGCAGTGGGCCCCACACCACCACGGACATCGCCTGCGCCGCCCCAAACGTCGCCCATGCCGCCCCAAACGTCGTCCGCCGTCAGCCGCTTTCCACACACAACCCATGTATAACACCCGATCTACTTTTAAAACATCCAGTTGCAACATACAAAAATAACAGATGAAACACTGGAAACAAGCGTCTAAAACACTTGCTAAAATGTCTGAAAAATATTTGAAAACCATTGTAAACATATGCAACATCATGATGAAATACTTGCAAGCATACGTATGAAACATCTGAAAATACTTGAAACATATGCTTGCAACATGCTTGTATATGCAACATATAGATCTACATTTGCAACATCCAAATAAAACACTTGCAGCATACGTCTGGATCAGATGAAATATTTGGAATATACACTTGAAACGTATGTGTATAGCCATTTCAACATGTGCAACATCCTGATCTACTTTTGCAACATCGATATGCAACACTTGCAACATACCTCTGAAACACTTGAAATATACTCTTGCAACATGTGGTTTTCACCCTTCTTCTTTCGTACGACGCAACACAGCGGAGAAACGGTAGATTTCAGCAAGCGACGGCCGAGGATGATGGCGCGGCTTGGCAACGGCTAGCTGTCCTCCGTCTGGCCTGGGCCCAGCTGGTGACGACCCCCTCTCCTAGCCGCCTGGCCACACGCAGCAGCCGGAAGGAGCCGCCGATCTCGGCGAGGTTGGAGAGGAAGCCCGCGAGGAGCGATGGGGACGGTGGCGCAGCGACGGGGTGCGGGGACGAGGAGCAAGCGTGCGGCGGCGGCCCGTCGAGGTGGGTGGCAGTGAGTCGGTGTGGGTTGGGTTGAGGAGCGGGTGCAGGAAGCAGCACGCGTGCTCTCGTCGAAACAGGTAGTGGCTGCGTTTCATGGAGGAAGGAGAAGAGGGGCTAACGTTAAGACCCGCGTGTAAGAGAGAGGGAGGGCTGCTGACCACTCAATCTCCAGCTTTTCAAACACCGGCAAGCATGCAGGTGAGGACGGGTGCCCGGAGCAGCAGTGTGGCCCCCTTCCTTTTCTACAAATCGCTTCTTAATTTCCGCATGTTCGACAATGGACAATTTGCTACGACCAATTTTGGCAGCTGAAGCCTCCCAACTTTCTCCCGTGCTAAATGCAATAAGCTTTTGACCAAAATGTGCTGAGGGCGGTGATGCTACGGAGGAGTCATCTTGTGTGCCTGCTTTCGGACTATTCTGAATTTTGTTATTTTGCTTAGTGAGCAGCTAGAACAAAAAAGAAAAAGATTGGAGATCTTTGTTGTACTTGCTGGACCGAAACCAAACTCTTACGCCAAAGGTGTTTCTAATGTTTGACACATGTTAAAGTGCTTGTTGTTTCTGAATGTTTGTTTAAAACCGTGACGGTATGGTATTTCCTTGGAGATGTTATCACCACTGCTGCATCGGTTGGTTGGTGCATGTGCGAAGGGGAGGTAGCCTTGAACGACTAGGTTACCGTCTGTCTGGATTACAAAACAGGGTTCTGTATAGCCTCTGCTTGTTGATCTGAGTATCTGTATTCAGTTCTGTTTAGTAAATTGGCTAAGCAAGAAGTATGTGATAGTAGCATGTTTTGTCAAAGGACTGAGTTATGTTAGTTCACCAATATACTTGTCATAATAGCGTTTTTATAAATCCCAAATCTGGAAGACATTGAGTTAGGAGGAACGAAAATGAAAGAGTGACGCTCCATGGCTCATGGACTGCCGGGCCAAGGGCAACACTGGAGGAGACGAGGACTGAAGGCCCAATGGCCCAACTGCTAGCGTTTGTGCTACACGAGCCAGCCGAGCGTCTTGACGCTGACGGCAGGTCGGCCCGGTGGGGATGGCACGCGTGAGGCAGTCTGCGTATATGCATGAACTTGGGAACGAACGAGAAGGACTAGAGGTCTTTTTACGTGCTATATAGTAACTTCAATCTCAATATTTTATTAAGAGACATGCAGGTATTTTTTTTTTCCGAGAACATGCCTTGATGATGCCTTAGCACATGTTACGTCAAGAGGAATTGAGTTACACGACGCAACTGCGAGAGAGTCCTCATAGCGCACGTTACAAACCACAGTACTCTTACATTGAAAAAGAATTTGATGTGCTTATTTAGACTCTAGACTGAACTAAATTAGATTGGAAATTTCTACTGATAGGATACTTTTTATCTCATTAATAAGATGAGTGAATTTCGTTAAAATTTGATTATTTTAGACCGAATGCTAGAACCTTGCAAAAGAGACGAGTTTGTTGAGCTAGAGGCTGCTTTTGTAAACTCTCCCCTTTTTTCTCCTTTGTTTATGGCTTAGGAAGAAAAACAACCAGGCGACTGCAAAAAACCTAAAAACAACCAAAAAATACTACATCACGCCCAGTGGGACTCGAACCCACAATCGCCTGATTAGAAGTCAGACGCCTTATCCATTAGGCCATGGGCGCCGGTGCTGATGAGGAAGGTATTTAATAGTAACTGATCACAAAAGCAGTCTTCTTGAACAATAGTCAACGACTCATAACCCTCACGAGCAAAGGACACACATATGGATGCATGCCACCTACTCATGATTAACATTTGGTAAGTGAACATATCGCAATCCTTGACTGTTGACTCTTTTCTCAAAGACAATGTTAACTGATCACACCAACTCATTGCAAACTTATTTTCCACAAGCAAGAAATGACACCCTATTAACCACACAGACCGTTACATTGCCCATCAACAGACTCTAGGTAATCTACTAATCTGGTTGCCGTCCTGCCTCCCCCATTTCCGCCACTTGATGTTATCAGGATTCATGTCATGGATACAATATTGACAAGGGTCCTTTTCTGCACTGCCCATGCGGCTCTGCCTCCAGCATTTATGCTGGTGATCACAAAACCTGATGATTAAAGTACCAAAACTTCCCCAGCGGAAGGAACATAAACATAACGTACCGGTAAAACATTTAACCAAAATGCAGAAAGCATGCAAACTTGTTCAATTCAGGTATCTCTGGTCTGCTTTGGTCACTTGTCAATTGCAGTATAGCTTCAAGCACACAAAGATCATGACTAGTATTTGTCGATCAGGATGTTATGTCGGCTACTTTATATCTGTAATGGTGTATACTGTTCTGCACTCCCATCAGCTATGCTTTATGTAAGGAGGACCCCTAGCAAAACTTAACAAACAACGAAACTGATCGGTGGAGTTGGAACCAAAATGATGGAACTCCATGATGACTGTTCTCACCGAAAGGCAGGCACTCAATCCTATCTTTCCCAAGTCGAAGAGTCCACCCAAACTCCAGCCTTACCGGCTTACCCTGTTGCTCATCATGAAGACAAACAAAAGGCACATGTTCCCAGACTCAAGAGTGCTTGGACATAGTAAGGAATCAAGATACCTGGCCAATGTCGCAAAAGAAAGAGAGCCTTCTTTTAGCAACCTTTGATCTATAACACCAGGCTTCAAATGCCTCCGTCAAGTCAGGATATCTAACATGTTTTGACTGAAGCCACTCTGATAAAATCTCAGCTTGACTATTTGACGGCAGTGTCAGCAAAATAGAAATAATTGCAGACTCCAGGCCCTGCCAGACCTCATTGTCCAGGTTTTCCTTTGGTGTCTCAGCCTCACCACCATCATCATCCGGATAGGCCTGATCAACCAAAGATTTTGTCATTCTTGCAAATCGAATCCATAAATTCACCACATGGCGGCGCTTCTCAGCTGGAAGGACGACATTGCCAAATGCAACAGCCTCCAGGACTTTTGCAGACACCTCTACCACCTTCAGCCTGGTCTTCAGACAATCATACCCAGTGCATACTGCGTCAACAGTTTCAACAACATCAGAGGACACTCCAACCCAGTAGACAACAATGCACTTCATCATCTCGAGCTTGCTCAGGACCTGACAGACCCAAGAGATATCACAAAGAAAAGACTGCAACTCCTGCTGAAGCTCCTGGTCGTCACCATCAAGAGGCGCCTCCTTTTGTTTTGTCAGGATAGAACTCATGAAATCACTGAACTGACTTAGTAAACCTTTGGCACAATCCTTCACTTGAGACTTCACAGTGTCGTTGTCAAGGGCTACCAATGGGGCGTCGTCATCTTCGGTGAGCATGTACTCCAGCTGCTCCTGAGCTGCAGACTTGAGCTCCCGCGCAGGCCCAGCCGCCGACGAGATCGTCGCGTGCCGGAACGCCGGAAGGAATATGCTCGTCACCGGAGCCGGATCGATTGGCCGGAGACGCGCAAGGATGCACTCGTACTGCGGGCCGAGGCCGGGGACGGTCCTCAGAATCTCCTCCTCGTCGGCCTCGTCCCAGGGGGCGGACTCGATGTAGCCGGCGCAGGCGGCGGCGATCTGCCCGCATCCAAGGTGCACGGCGGCCTGGAGCACGCCCAGCGTGCCGCGGACGCCGAAATGGGAGCAGGGCTCGGTGGCGTATAGGAGCCGGAGCGCGGTAACATGGGAGCTCAGGTCCAGCTCCTGGCAGTAGACCTCGACGCAGTAGCGCGAGCCGAGGATCTGGCACGTCGGCCAGGCGTCGGAGAGGCGATCGGCAAAGTAGGTGCTGCCGGCGGCGAGCACCGCGGAGTGGCAGTAGAGCCATTCGTCGCGGTCCTCCGGCGTTCGTAGCCGCACTACCACGTCGCTGGTCGCTTGGTCGCCGATCTTGGGCCGCCCCGCCCTCATGCCACTGCTAGTGCTAGATTGGGGATGAAACGACGATCAGCAACAGCGCAGCTCATCAATCGGACGGAACATAACTTTGTCAAGAGAAAAACGCAAAAAATTCGGAATCGAAGGAAGATGAGAGTGAGAATTCGTAGCCGATTCTAGGCTTATTTCCAATCTCACTTACCGCGGCAGAGGCAAGCCAGGAACACGCCGACGAAGGAGAGGCGGCTCGCGGCGGATAGGGGAGGCGAGCAAGACGGAGGAGGCCAGATGCCATAGAAGCAAAGCCAAATAATACCACACGAGTTTCAGGATCACGAATCTCGATGCACATTGGACGGTGCCTGAGCTAAACCTATTGTCACTCATCTGTAGTGCTGTTACTGCTGTACTCTACTGGTGTTCAACAAGTCACATTGGCATCTCTGATAGCTTAACAGATGACGCTACAAAATACTCAAGTTTATGCACTGCACAAAGGTTAAGCCTATACAGGGTAGATTCTGGACTTAGGATTACACGATGCATCTTTTCTATCACAATTCACAACACCTAAAATTGCTGTGCAGTAAAATTACAGTAGTATACTACGATTGTAATTGTACAACATGCATTTCCAGCTGCAGAGCATAAGGTTCAATCAAAATGGTCTGCGGAGAAATCGGGCTCATCAGGCTTCTGCAACCTGCGAATAGCAATGTCCTCGGTGCGGAACCTTCTGGAAGCAGAAGCAAGCTTATGCATATGGGCAATGGCACCTTCAGCAATCGTCCTTGTGCCGCCACTTGAGCTGCCCTCCTGTCTGGGTTTATCACCAGTTGGGTGATCCTCTGACCACCATGAGTATGACTCCCATCGGCTGAGGCTCTCAGCCAGCTTCCTTCTCTGGTGCTGCCGCCATGCAGCTTGGATGAAGCAGGCAGCCCAGGTCCTCCAGTGATGGGAGTAGAACCGGAATGTGTGCTGGAGCTTCTTGCTGTGAAGCCTTCTGAACTGGTTTGCGACGAACTTCAGGTCTTCAGCTCGCAGAGCGAAGGCTTCCACCTCTGTGAGGCTCCGTACAGTCCTTGTTGAAAGTGGGAAGTGGACGTTTGTCTTTGGAAGTAGGGCCCAAGTGAGCAGCTCTTCACCTGCGAAATCACCAGGGCGCAGGATGATAGAGTTGAAGAAGTTGCTACGGCCACCATTTGTTGTTGAGCTCTCTAGTTTCCCGCGTATGATAAAAAGCATCTCATTCACAGGATCACCCTCGCGGGAGATGTATGTATTCTCAGGACACAGGAAAGACACCAGCCGCTCACAGATGGCATCAAGAAGTTGGTCGTCCATCTCAGAGAAAAAGGGTACCTGCATTGCAGAATGGAATGAAAAGCTGCCATGGAATGTGTATGAAGTTTCAACTAGCAGTAGAAGCAATGGTAAAAAGCAACAGAGCGTCAACTTCTTTATTTCCATCCAAATACAGTAAATAATCCATCAAGAAACTTTCAAAAACTAAAAACTCTACTAATTCAACTGTGAGATGGGAGTATAACCACAACTTACACGTCTAACAAGGTCCAAACAAAGATGACGCTGCACATCCCGACGTATGTCAGCAGGCAAAGCTTGCAAGATGGACTCTTCTTCTACTCCTCTTGTAGCAAGCCATTTAACTTGAACAAACCGACGGACACGTTCTTGAAGATGAGATGGGAGTTGATGGTGTCTCATCCACTCATCCATGTCCCTTTGCCTCAGCCTCCACTCTTCAAGCCTTTTACTGATAGACTGCAGGTATGTCTAAAAGAAGAATAGGAAGTGATCTCTGAATCAGACTTCAAGTGGGTTACCAGTGCAGAAAATGGCTTACTGAACACAGAAACAGTAATATCCTTATTTTTATCAGAAATCTCAAACCATGAAACGGAAGTTCATACTTCATATGCTTGATGCATCAGTTAAGCAAAAAAGACAGAAAGTTACAATAGCCTTAACACATAATGCACAATAGAACTGATAACAAGGTAATTTTGCCAAACTAGATCAGCTTTAAAATTGCTTCCAAATTTATCACATAATGCAATTACTAATGCTGTGTTAATCCTAGGATTAACTTGGTAATACGAGCATAAAAAGTGTGAACTACCAACCCCAAAACTTCCTATTGTAGTTCAGAAGTGAGAATTTATGGCACTACCTGCATATTGCCAATCAACTGAGCAAAGAGTATGAGACTGATAGCGCCAATTGCTATAGCAAATAAGTTCTCTGTGATAAAAGCACTTGTCACGAGAGGATTTCCGCTTGAACTGAAAGGTGTCAACAGACACAAAACAACATTAACATCAGTAATTGTATTAGACATACAAAAGAACCCAAAGTAACAGAGTATAGCGGTGGATCACAACCTAAGCTGCAGCAAGCCCCACCATAGACAAAAGAAGTACTTCTCAAGGAATGGAGATGAGACAGCGCCTTTACTCAGTGCACTAGAAAACATCCCATATTTAAATGATAAATTAGGATTATTGGCATCACAATTGGCAAATATACTTGTGTTATTTGCCCACACAGAATAATCATTAGAACCATTATTCTCACAACTTATAAATCTCAAGTTGCAATGTTTATCATTGTACTCAGCAACACACTGCTGATCCCAGCATGTAATCTGCCGTTCGATGGAGAGAAGATAATATATTGCACCAGTAATCTGCAGCAATGCACACAGGTCATATCACAAGTAACATAATTTTAGTATCGCGCAAACAAATGTGTAACCACAAGATCCAAGATGATAGTGATAGAATTGTTTCTCACAATTGAGCTCACATGCATGTCTACTTGAAACAGTTTTGTTTCTTTGTGCAGAACGTGAGACTGAATTCTAATGCATCCCAGGATAATGGATATATTTGTTGAATCAGGAAAAAAAAGGACCAGAAAACTGATATTAGGTTCCATATGAAGAGAAGACAAGACTCCATTTTCAATAGCAAATAAAACCATGTGTGTCCCTTAGAACAAACATAAGCTGAAATAAATCTTAATTCAAATTAACATCCCCAGGAATTTCATAAATAAAATTGAAAGTGGATAACCATACATGGCTTGCGAGCATGTAGAGCAGAAGATTGTATGCTGCTCCCCCCCAAGCTGACTTTGCAACTACTCCAACAGCTTTGATAATCTGATTGCTTAAAGGGATGATGAGATACATTCTTATGACATACTGAATCACAATTACGAGAGCAAATGTAGTGTTTCGGATGTTATAATCTGAGCTTTTTATCGCAGGCATAATTAACCACACAGTAACCTGCAAAACAAAGTCACCCCAGAAAGATTAAGTCTTAACTACAGAAGTTTTGCACTAACAAACCAAGTCATCATATTCAGTATTTGTGATAATCATCGCTCAAAAATTTCAGCTACACAGGCAAAGTTAATCTACAAGTATTCAGCTAAGCTAGCAGGTTACAACTACAACAACAACACCAAACCCTTTTAGTCCTGCTATGAACCTTAGTTCATATCGGGGATAGAGAGGATAACCCTTGCCAAGAGGAAGGCCGGGCAAAGTCGGCGTGGAGGGAGACTAGAATATTTGGGGGTAACTGGATTGTTTGTTGTTCATTGCTTGATCCATTCTTAGCCGGTTACAAGATATAAATAGAAGTCCCTGAGTCCTAGCTCCTTGATTCTCTCCTAGCCATTAACTTCTTACTCCTTAACCGGCAGCTACTGCCATTGATTGCAGCTGGCTGCGCATGTGCCTTCTTGGGTCTTAACCCCTAACTGGCAGCTTAACTGCCCTTGATTACAGCTGTCTAAGCATGCACCTCCTTGGGTGCGCCTCTGGCAGCATCTCGAGCCCTGGAGCATCGCTGATATTGTCAGCCCCCACATCACAAGCCCCCTCTACTGCGTTCCTGGTGGCATGCAGCCGGTCCTGGGCTGCCCCACATGACAAGTCCCAACCAAATTGTGGTAGGCTAGAGTTGAAGCCCAACATGAGCCACCAATGAAAAGGGAAAAATCAAGAGAACAGGATATAAAGACATATATAAGGCATCAATAATAGTGCTAGTATTAGCTGATTACAATAAATTTCATTGAATGTTTTCTTATGATCTAAAGTGGATGTTAATTAGATTCAGATGATATATGGCATGAATACATCTGAGTAGAAAGGTAGCTGGGTCCACCTTACTGAAGTCACGATGTGGTTGTCGCAATTGTATGTTTACTAACAACAATTTTCTAGGATAGGAAATAGCAACATCACCAGAGGAAGGGTCAGATGACTTACTTTGATAACCTTATATTAAGGGAAATAATGACATGGGCTCAACCCAAAGGCTTACCACGAGAATCTTACCGCCACATAGACGCTAATCAATCAATTTAGTGCAAAATAATATGCATATGGCATTGCTATTGAACATATACCGCAGGTGATTGTAGTACCACTAGAAATGGTAAAATAAGAAAATGCAATATAAACAATTAAATTATGCAACAAGGGCTGCAGCCACTAATCTTCGCGAGGTCTTTACCTGTGGAAGTGGCACAGCTGCAAGCATGTCTACAAAGAAATCAGTTCTTATATATCTTCGTTGAATCTTCTTAATATCCACAACAAGCTCTCCCTTTCCGAGGACTCTGGACTTTGGATCCACATATGCAGTATGAAACTTGATTGCTATGTTCAACATGTAAAATAAGTCAGCAAGTGATCGTAGGACAGTGATTCTTATGCTCAGTCCCTGGTCCTTGGAAACACATGAAGATCCATTGCCATTTTGTCTAATCAATGGAAGGTAATAGAAAAAAGGATCTATGAAAAGAGCAAACAAACATGCCACAAGGTACACCCTGTTCCATCTCAGTACAATATTACTCCCAGGGTCTAGAATACGCTGGTGCCACAGTTTGTTGCCTTCATTTAACACCTTAAGCTTCTCAGGATTCTTCAGATCCATTCTATTTGCACCAAATCTGTCAGCCCGTGCAGTTTGATATAATGGCTT